CAATGACTCTCGAGAAAGAAAGCGATCGTCAACTTGCAGGTTCGAGCCAAGGTCGACGGCGAATGGAATCACTGGAGATCTGCACCGAGAAAGGTAATCACCGGTGAGACTGCTGAGGTGAGTACCGAATCTACCGCTTCTCTACTGCCTCCTTTACCTATGCTGCATTCACTTCAGATTCGTCGAAGCTGTTGTATCGTGCCACCGCCATACATGGTTGAGAATATCGGAAGTCCCGGTTCGTGGTGGGAGGTGGACGTGAGTCCCGCGGCAACAGAAAATGGCGTCACGTAAGTTTTCCCCTACAATGACTCAAATCAATTTCAGTCAAGGCCGTCCCACGTTTGGGAATCCGCATCAGCGGGGGGGGGGTCGTATTCAGTCCGAAAAAAATTTTGATAGCCGATTCTTCCTGTTTCATGGGCGCTAGTGGCATCATTATAGGAAGTATGGGGGTCGTATTTGCACCGTTATAGGGAGTAGGGGAGGGTCGTAGTTGCTCGTCGTTGAGAGGATGGAAATGGTTTCCGCCTCCGAAAGAAAGTTGCTCGTTTCGGAATGCGGAAAAAATTCTCAGATTTTCGGTTCCACTAATGCTACCGCTGTACCGCTTCCCCTCGCCCCCTCCCCCGATCAACGGCAAAATTCTCGGGAAAAACTGGAAAGCTTCAGGAAATTTCGGTAAAAATCTAGCAAACTTGAAAAGTTGTCAAAAGAGGCGAGAGAGTAGGTAGGATGGGGACGAGGGGGGGGGGGAGTCGTAGCAAAGGACGGAATTGGGTGGTTCATATTTTTCGAAGACTTCCCCAGTGGCAAGACGTGTCCTGATTTTAGTACGCCTTCGCAGGCCCTTTTCTTTGCTTCACTCGGGTAATCGTAGGCATTTATTGGGCGTGGTGCAAGTGTGTGTATTGGTAGAGACAAAACCAGTTTATGGCGGCGTTTCCGTCCTCTCACTTGGACGGACACCTTGATTTACTAGAAAAACATTCTCGACCAACTCCCATAGGATTATGGGCAGAGTGTGCGGGTTGACTATGAGAAACAGCGTGAAACAGGGGAAATCATTTGGGAGATTTTGGCCGAATCCGTACGACCCTCCCTAAAAGGTGGCTTAATACGACCCTCCTCCGGTTCCCTCCTCTGATACGATGGAGCTGTCCAGCGCAGAGCACATCATTAGTTGGGGGTTTTGATCGAGTCCGTACGACCGCCCCCCCCCCCCTTCTTTCTTTTAAGGGGCTCGTAAGACACCTCCTGGTTCCTTCCTCATCGAGCCGAACTGTAGATCGGGACTTGGGGTAATGGGAACTTCCTGCCATTTTTTTCGGAATTTGCCAAAATTTTCTTCTTTTACCCAAAAATTTTGATGCCGAGCCAGGGAGGGGGGTCTGTCAAACCTCTCTAAGAAGCTCTGAAGGAAAAAAATTTTATTTGCCCGCCCTTCCCTCCCCCCCCCCCCCCCCTTCCATAGGCGTCTACTGAAACAATAAGGATCACCTATCAAAGAAATTTTCCCGAATACGAGTCCCCGTTGGAGACCGAATACGATCTCCCTCTGTAGGGGAATCCCAACAACGATGTCGAGCGGGTGGGCGGGAGGTACAGCACATGTGAAACGGGAAAACCGCGAGGTGATACGACCCCCTCTCTTCCATCAACGAGCAAACAAACATCCACCATTGCGATCCGTGAAACAAGAAAATTCAGACTAATCAAAAGTTTCGTTAGACCACATACCATCCGACGCCCCCCTCCGCGTCCATGGGAATACAGCCCTAGGTAGAGAATTGCTGACGAAGATGTGCCCTGGCGTGGGATTCCTTCGCATATTCTCAATTTCTTGGTCATTTCAGCCGATATTATGTGGTGGTCGACGAGCGTGATCCTCCTGGAGAATCCAACTGGACCGAACTCACCGATAAGGTAGGCCAAAGTGCATCATTTCTGGTCTTAAATGGAGACTGAAAAAGCTTTTCCAGGTGACAGCCAACAAGCTCAAGATCCCTTACTATGTGGCGGCATCATATGACATCAACACTTTGACCGAGCCGAAGAAGGTAAGATTCCGTGATCCGCGCCTCGTCCGACCTCGTCAAACTTTTTCTTGCAGGTGCGAATCGGCGACGGAACAGTAATTGGAGGTTACCTGAACTATCCGCTGGTGAAGGGCAAGAAGTACAACTACGAGGTGTACACCGTGTGGAACATGACCGGAGTGCCAGTCGTGGGACGAAGTCGAGGTGAGTGCGGCGAGTTCATGCAGTCTGTCTAGGGGGGCGAGTTTTGTTATCATCACGAGGCGTCTCGCCACGTGAACTGTAGGCAGAGAACGGGGCGCGATGATAAGGGGTTTGGGGAGGCAGTGAGCTCGGGGCGTGGTAGTCGGCGGAGACGCAGACGACCACTACCATCGCTGCCACTCTAACAGTCGAATGGCCTGGTTGCCTGACGGTGAGTTCCATTCCCATTGTGCATTAGACGCGCGCCTAATCTCTGCTCGTTCGCGCAGACGTACGCAGTTGGTGGTCCCGAGTGCCATGGTGGTGGATACTGCCAGCACTGCTCGCCATAGCGCTACTACTGCCATGTCTTATTTGGATATGTTGCTTTTCTCAGTGAGTTCGCATGCGTCTCGTGTGTGTGTGGGTGATGCATGACGACGACGACGCATGGTGTGCAGTACCTTTGTAACCAAGAATGTCAACTTTCAGCTTCTCCATACCTAGCAGCAGGATGGCCATGGTGGTGGCTGCTCCTACTGCTGCTTCTACTGCTCCTGCTAATTCTACTCTGCTGTTGCCTCTTATGGTGCCTTCAGGGGTGCGATCTAACTCTTTCTTTTAACCCTATATTCCCCTTTACTACTGTGATCTATTCCATTACTAAATGTCATATCTGAAAGAACATTTCGGGGCAGTTCGGCGACGGGGGGGGGGCATTTTGCACTTTTGCTGCTTCCCTTCGACCTTTCGGCTCATCTAGAGAGCCATTTCGTGAGCTTACAAGAGTTGACAGGTTTTACCATGGTGGCTAGGGCTCGCCTCAGATTCACAAGAGTCCAGCGATTTCACCAAAGTTAGACTTTTGAACCGGAACTAGTGAAGCAGCGAAAGTGCAAAATGCCCCCCGTCGCCGAACTCCGCCGAACGTTCAAATAGCATGATCCCCAGATCCCCTCTGAACGTTCTATTCCTACGCTGATCTTTCATTTTAGACGCTATCGAACACGGAAGGAGCACCGGAGAATGGTGACGAATGGCCAGCATGTACCGCTCCTTGAAGACGTGAGTAAGACCAGGGCGGTCCTGAGCGGCATTGATTTTGATTGCGGTTTTTTTCAGGACAAGACTGGTATGGAGCCGCCCATGCGGGAGACGAACTTGCGATCGCTCGAATCGCGCCTGGACAAAATGCGCGGCACAGCTGACGGCCGATGTGAGTGCATTACGCTTCCACCCCCAGGGCCATAGGTGTAAATGCCGTTGTCACAGAGCGCCGTAAATTCATCACAGTGAGAAGGCCTTGACATGGGCGTGGCCGTCGTGGTTGCACAAGAAAACCGCATATTTGTTAGCCGAAAGCGGCGCATAAACCGGAAATACGAGCTGCGCAATCGCTATCGACCCCCAAAGTCTACCTTCCGATTATGAACAGAATTGATTGGTTTCATGGCCTTTGATCCTCATGATAATTTTTTTCTTTTGATTTTTTTTGATTTTTTGAAAACCTTTGAAATTTCTTTGAACTGATTGAAAGAGCCCAAATTAGGAAGACATTTGGAAGACTCTGAGGAGGGACGGTTTATTCACTTGTTGCACGAGACAACGGGTCGTTTCCAAAAAAAGGCTAAAATCCAATTTTTCCGTTTTGTGGACTGCTAAATGGAATAATGATTTATATGATAAAAAACAAGCTGTAGTTACCGGCTGTCCTTCACTATGACCTGATTCGGCCTTGGTAGCAAGGTCGGCGCGGCTTATGAATGATTCTGGCGTGCAACTACCGGTCCGGGGTTTGACAACACTTCCTTATCATCTGCGCTATATGATTATCAGCCCCATGGCAGTGAGTCGGAGAAGTTGGGAAAAACATTCTGACCGTAAATGAGCCCATCTGGGTGTTCCAGAAACAGGAGGCTCCTAAAGCTGCCCTAAATTGGTAGGTGAAGGTCCGAAACAGATATTCGATGGAACGTCTGCGATTTTCAGGTCATTCATTATGTGCAGGGCCTGTCCTGCCGCTGGGAAAAAATTTTCGGATAATACACCCCCTAGTCCTCTCCTTTGATACGCCCACTCTTTCTCATCCTCCCTACCACTTTTCTAGGTTCCCAGCTTCTTACCACTTTTATTCCAGTTTCCCGAAATTTCAGGAAAATCTTGCTATTAGGTGGAGGGGCGGGGGCATACAGTAACATATGTGAAACGGGAAAAACGCTGAAGTCAAAAACGGGAAAACTTCTTTCCAAAGCCGCAAATTCCTCTCAAAGACAAATAGCCCCTCCCCTCTACTAATATCATAGGGTCTGTGAAACAAGAAAAGTCAACTATAAAAAAATTCATCAGATCAAAACGAATCCCTCTATCTTCCCAACGGCCCCAAATAGTAGTGCCAAATGCGACACCCCCGGGGATTCCCCAAAATGCGACGTGGTCTGATTATATGCCTCGAATGACCTTCCCTTTTCTCCTTCTCAAACCGTGCTCTAATCAGCTTGACCTGATTTCTATAGGTTTTTCTGAGCGCAGATAAAACAGTGGTGTTGCCCCATCACACTTTCGAAGACTAGTTCCTGCCCTGAGTTGCAGATCCTACAATTTTCCTCGTCCCTTTTTGCAGCAAGCAGATCTGGGCGACAGTACCAAAGAACTAGTTCTGGTTTGACCTGACCTGCAAAGGCTTAAATTAAATGTAACTGCTTCTACGATTCTACAAGGAAGTTGAGCGCAGTTGGCTTGGTGGGGGCACTGAACGGTACTCAGCTAAGCTTGAACGGGCCACCCAGGGTACAGCATCGTTGTGCGAAACACATGTGGGTGCTTGACCGCGGGGGGGGGGTCGTATTCGGTCCTTGTTGGGAGAGGGGGGTCGTATGTGCCTCTGAGAGAAATTTGCCGCGTTGGGAAAAAATTTTCCCGGTTGTTGACTTTTCGCGGTTTTTTCCGTTTCACATGTGCCGTACACTCCAAGCCCCCCAACTTAACTTTTTCGGGAGAAAGTAGCAAATTTTCGGGAAATTTTGGAAAAACTGGTAGGAAGCTGGGAGCATATAGGAGACTGGTAGTTAGGTGGTGCGAAGGGGGATCGTACCGATAGGGGGTCTCACCAAGAAAGGGGGTCGTACCGAAACCCTCTTTCAAGGGGTGTCGTACTGGCAGCACCATTTCACACATCACGACGCTGTACCCTGAGACCACCTCATGAAGACCTGTGAATTCTAGCGACCAAACTGCCATATTCAAACAATTTCACAGCTTTACAGGAGTAAACAAGTCTGATCAAAGTTGGTCTGACCAAAGACCTGTTAGTTAACATGAACCAACAATAGGAACTAACGGAAGTGCAGAATGCCCCCTCTATACCGAACAGCGCCGGAAGTTCATTGTATGGCACAGCTACAAGAATGGCTACTTATGGTTAGTTGAAGAATGGCCGCGATTACGTTATCAACTTTAACCCTATCAAGCGAAAGGCATAATCAATGTGCTCTCACCGAATGTTATGAATGCCTTTTTGAGTGGAATTAATTTCGCGTGACAGAGAGTGTCCAGGTATTTTTAACGCTCTGGTGTTGTCTTCAACACGTTTCAGTACCATCGCGTTCCGGGTTAATTATTCATCATCTTTCTTCGATCACTGATTTTCAGTACTCTGACGCTGTTCGGCTAAGGAGGGAGGGGGTGGGGAGGGGTAGTGGGTCAAAGGGCATTTTGGATTTCTGCTTCTTTCTTTTGCTTCTGTCTTTATAGAGATGGAAAATGTGACGCGTAGCGGGTCCCGCACTTTTTTCAAATGTTCCTTGCCTCTGTGTGAAGGACGGTCGTGAACAGCAGAAGCTTATCGACACTGAGATTCCAGCAGTCTCCGATACAGGGTGCCGCATCTTGCACGTGAACAATATGGGAAGGGTCGTATTTTTCCACCGGGAGAAGGGTCGTATTTGGTGGGGGGGGGTTCGTGTCGGAAACCCCCCCCTCGAGTGGGGGTGTTGTGACTGAACCACACTTCACACATCACAATGCTGTGCGCCATCTGTCCATAGCTTTCACAGGAAAATACAGGTCTGCAAAATGCCCCCACAAAGCCATCTCTGCCCTTCCATGAAAAAGGTGTGCGCTGAGCTTCATTGCGTGTTATATCTCTCGAATCTAATTGACATGATGCATTTTCAAACTTGACGGTATGCTTGAGGGTGGCCGTAAGGCTTCTATAAGGCCTACAAATGAAACAGTCATGCATGTGTCAGGGGCAGAACTGGGTAAACTAGCCAACTATGTAGTGATTGCTATCCTTCACGCAAGCTGGGTTCCCACTGGCTGCTGGTGCTGTTCGGCTTAGGTAAGAGGGGTGGGGGAGGGGAGGACCGGGACATTCTGCATTTCCGTTAGTTCCTCCTGTTAGTTCATGTTAATTAACATCACCCTCACCAAATAATACCTGTCAGCTTTTGCGAAACTGCGAAATGGTGCAAGTGCGCAGCTTTGGTCCCAGGAGCCCACAGGTCTTCACATGTAGCCTGTACTTGATCCGCTGAATACGGTGCTGCCACTAATTGGAAAAGAATACATAGGCATAGCTAAAAAATCACAACAAGGCAGAGATAATTCGCTGTCTTTGTCCTCGGACGAACCACTATTAGTCTGTTAACACATTGCGGACCGCCATACTGCGCACATCGCCGTGCCATTTCATGATTTTTCATAGTTAATATTGAAAATTTCTACTTATTTTCCATCTCTCATGAGGTATTAGGTATCTTACGTAACCGAATGTGTGTTTTGGCAACATAAGAACTTGAAAGAAAAGCCAAGTTACTCAAATAAATCACCGCCAAGAGACGAAACATGACACACCATGTGTGTCACGCGTTAACCTTGGGACTGGCTAGTTAGCCCAACAGCGCCGCTTATTGATATAGGGATTCCAGAACTTCAAGCACATACTAACTTGTGAATTACCTGTCGTGTCGAAGTTTGCCCAGAGAGAGAAAAAGGTGAAGTTGTCGACATATTTTTGTTCATGCGGGAGTTCCCCGCGCAGACCCGACGTTTTGACCACCGTCGATGAACGAGCGGCAAGAGACATTAACCTCTCAGGTCCGTCAAGAGGTATAACTCCATTTTTACTGCAACGCCTCTTTCTAACAACTGACCAGTGATTAGAAAAAAAATGGTTGTACAATGGAACCTTGTTCTCGGGACCCTCGTAAAAACTTACTAAAATATCCAGTTTTGATTGTGATCCTTCCGTAGACCTGAAAAAGAGCTTGGGCTGCGTCCAGAACCCCACGATGCAAGTCGACGTGCGCTGACTCGCGTCAACGCAGCCAAAGAGGAATATCGACCAGCGCTTGGGGAAATATAGGAGATTAGGAAGTACCAGACATTGTAATTAGGCGCTATAAAACAAAAGCTTCGCTGTGCTGTACTGGACCTTTCTAATTCATGACACCCGCCTAATCACCCTGCCTTTGCCCCTATTCTCCTAGACTATCATAGAACGTCATCGGCGCAAACAGGTTGTAACGCCGATAGGTACTTGACGGCTATGTGCGTCAACGCGCGCCATCGCCAAGCCTAACCGCGGCGCTGGGGTCTGGAACACGGTCGTGTAAGAATTGAAATTTTCGTTGGGAAAATCTACCATGAACTATCATGATTTGCTTGTTAAGGCAGCTTATATTCGCGAGTTGATCATATTTGGGCAGAGCGCCTGCAGACTTATCATTTTCGATGCTTTTTCTTTATGTTTGTTATTCGTAGCCGCCATGGGTTCTTCGTGGTTGGAGTTGGTGAGACATGGGCTGAAGACAAATTTTTTTTAGAAAGCTGTAGCAGTTTATCAATTGAGGCTCTTCCGCTCTTACCTTCTCACCAATCGGATCACCGCGGCTGACGCCGAGCTCTCCTTGCTTGCTCTTTAGCTCCGTTCGGCCGAGGCTGGCCTCGGCTTCCTTGCGTGAAAATCCTGTTTCAGTCGAAGCTACATCCTCGCGCCCCCTTCCACCCCCGCTTCGTGAATATCACATTATATAGCTAGGGTGTGGGTTAGGGTGGGAGGAGTTCTTGCCTAGTAGCTAGCAAGTGATGGCTGAAGGAGAAAGTTTTGGCGATGCACGTGAGGCCTTCAATCTTTGGTAGGTAAGAGCTGTAAGTGGAGAGTGGCGGCCTTATGCCTAGGTAATGATAATGGCCCCTTATCCTTATC